CACCCGGCTTTAACAATAAGGAATGCTGAAAGCGAAAGTGGAATTGTTTGAGCTTATTTGTGCTACAAAGTAACAAAAAGTAACAGCGCTGGCCTGAAGAAAGAGGAAAAGTTCTTTTAAAAGTGATTTGACTTGTTCCCTCTCCCTTGGGACTTGACTAAAGCTGGGGAAATTCCTGAAAGGTTTTTGTGGTGGAAAGGGAGAGAGGATATCTTTTTTAGAAAGAGTCAGGCTGCATGGAAAAATAGGTTCAAAACTAACAAAGTCAGCTAAAACTGATGGGGGGGGCTCCCCCACTCATAAACCAGAAGAGCAGCCTTTGAGTTCACAGACACAGACCCAAACACAAGAATCTGGATTTAATGATTTGAAGGAATTTATTGCTGGGGCTTTAGATCAGAAATTTGAAAAATCACAGCAGGAATTTAAAGAGATGGTTCAAGAAAAATATGACAAGATGAAAAGACAAATACTGACAGCTGTGACTGGTTTGTCAGAAGTAGTGCTCCAAGTTGATAAGAAAGTGGAACATCTTAGCTCAGAAGTGGAATCTAAAATGAAGGAACCTGATCAAAAAATTTATAATGTTGATAATAAAACACAAAGGCTTGAAAATGAAGTTACAATGATGCAATTCAGATTTATGGAGTTTGCTGTGAGACTCAGAGATATAAAAGAGAACAATAGAGAAGACCTGAGAAGGGTTTGTGCTGATGCTCTGGCTGTTATGTTAATGGTTGACCCTGAGGAGATTTTTTGCAAAATTGATAAGGTCTATAGAGTGAATTCTTGGGTGGCAAGGCAAAGGCAATTGCCTAGAGATGTGGTGATCTACTTTACAGATAGAAGAATAAGAAATGATATTTTGCAAAAATCTTTTGTTTCTACTATTCAAGTGGATGGAAAAGAGATTGGGATCTACAAAGAATTGCCACCTAAGATGTTGAGAGATAGAAAAGATTTTGGATTTTTGGTGACTGAATTAAAGAAACAACAAATCCCATTCAGATGGGACACTCCAGTTGGTATAATATTGAGGTATCAAGGAGAGAGATATCAATTAAATACTCTTCAAAAAGTGGAAGAATTTTATTTCAGTGTTTTTAAACCTGGTGCAGCATCTCCACGTACTTCCTCAGTGTTAGCCATAGTGGAGGGTGAGAAGGATATGCAATCTGAACAAGAGCTTGAAGAGCAGAGGAAACAGACGGAGAGGGAGGCACTAGAGACTCAAGGAGCGGCAGGGGGCCTACCCTTGTTGGATCCTCCTTTAGAGTTTTCAATTGAACCACCTAAAAATACAAGAGAAGTGGCAGCGGATCTTGATTTGATGTTGCATAGTGCTAAAGATCAGCGTATTATTCGAGCAGCTTATAAACAATTTTTAGAGAAACAACAACATCAGAGTTCAAAGTTACCACAAGACAAACAGGGAGTCAATGGTAAAGCACAAAAATCCGAAGCTATGGGAGGAGCTAAGCCGAAGACTATCAGTGTGGAACAGAAACTTCAGCAAATGCTCTTATCGCTTCAAGAGCCCGCAAATGATAATTAAGTTTTTATCTTGGAATGTGAACGGATTAAATTCACCACAGAAAAGGAGGAAGGTATTTCATTATTTGAGACAATTTAATAATGATGTAATTTGCTTACAGGAAACTCATATTAGAATACAAGATCAAAAATATTTGATAAATTCTAGATTAGGAACACAGTTTATAGCTTCAAACTCGGAAAAAAAGAATGGTGTAGTGATTTATACAAATAAAAGATTGCTAACAAAAATTATAGAAGCAGATGATTGTGGAAGATATATAGTAATAGAACTTCTTACAGATAATGGCCCAATCTTGGTGATTGGAATTTATGCTCCTAATCAGCAACAAGAAATTTTTTATAAATTACTGCATTCTAAAATACTACAATGGGACTACAGATCTATCCTACTTATGGGAGATTGGAATGGAGTAATAGATCCTAAAATAGATAAGAAGAGCTTGGCAAAATCATGTGTTAAACTACCACAGTTTTTTTTTTTTTGATTTGAAAGAAGACTTGGAACTGAAAGATATATGAAGAGTGCATAACCCAAAAGAATTGGACTTTACTTTTTTTTCAGATAGACACAGGATTGATTTTATTTTACTCACAGTTGACTTGCTTTTAAAAACAAGGAAAACAAAGATATTTCCGAGGACTTTATCTGACCACAGCCCAGTATGGATAGAAATAGAAATGGGAAAGAGAGAGAGAAGATCTTAGAGAGTAAATGAAAATTTATTTAGATATGAAAAAAATGTAAATGAATTTAAAAAACAAATGAAGGAATTTTTTGAAATGAACTTGAATAAGGTTACCCCTATTGAAATTGTTTGGGATGCGAGCAAGGCTTATATGCGGGGGGTATTGATTTATATGACATAAATCAAATCGACAAAGAAAAAGCTTAGAATTGGAAGGGGAGATAAAGAAAAAAGAGCAGTTACTTATAAAAAATCCAACAGATGAAAAATTACAAGGAGTTATAAAACTTTTGAAAGATCAATTCCATATGCTCACAGCAGAACAAGCAGCAACTAATTTACAATTTGCGAAACACAATACATTTTGTAATGCCAATAAACCGGGCAGGTGGTTGACTTACACATTGAGGAAACAGCAGAGTACTCGGACTATTGGGAGTATTGAGTATAAAGGGAAGGAAGTATTTCAACAAAGACTAATTAAAGAAGCCTTTCTAGATTATTATACCAAACTATATGCTAAAGATGATATACAGAATGAACTTATAAATAAATACCTAGAAGAAAAGAGAGTTATAAAAATTTCTAATGATCAAAAGGAAAGAACGAGTTTACCAATAACAGCTGAGGAGATTATTGTTGCTATTAAACAACTGAAAACAGCTAAAGCTCCAGGAACGGATGGTTTAACTGCGGTGTACTATAAAACTTTACAAGCAGAAATGATTGAACATCTTAAAGACTTATTTTGTAGCATACAACAAGGGGGAAAAATACCCCCTTCATGGAAAGCAGCTTTTGTTTCTTTGATACCGAAAGAGGAGGCAGGCTCTACAAAACCGGAAAATTTTAGACCAATATCTCTCCTGAATACGGATTATAAAATCTTTGCAAAAGTATTAGCCAACAGGTTAATGCCAGTTATTCAAGAGGTGATTCATCATGATCAAGCAGGATTTATAGAAGGCAGATACATGAAGGATAATGTGAGGCAAATTATAGACTTATTGGAATATCTTGAGAAGAATAAACAGATCTCTGCAGTGCTGGCGTTTTTGGATGCGGAGAAGGCCTTTGATCGAGTGAATTGGAACTTTCTATTAAAGACTTTAAAAAAGATGGATTTTGGGGATCAGTTTCTACAGGCGGTTTCAGCAATTTATCAAGAACAAACAGCACAAATTATTATTAATGGAAGCTTAACTACAAACTTTAGTATAGAAAAAGGCACAAGACAAGGTTGTCCGTTATCCCCGTTGTTGTTTATTCTAACCTTAGAAGTCTTGTTGAATACAATACGGGACTCGAACACTTTGAAGGGAATACTGATAAGGCAAGAGGATTACAGAACAAGGGCATTTGCAGATGATCTGGTTGTTACCCTAACACAGCCGATGCAATCAATAATTCAGATGAAAGACATTATAGAAGAATATGGTATGGTATCAGGATTTAGACTGAATCAGAAAAAAACCAAGATGATAGTTAAAAATATGACAGTTGATCAAAGGAAGGAACTGGAAAGGAAGGCAGGCTTTGAAATAGTATCATTGATGTTTGTAAAACTTTTTCAATTAAAAAAATATAACTCAGGCTTCAGATGAGTTATTAATCCATAGTTATATATTGCCCATTAAAATTCTGAGGAATGCAAGGCAAATAGATGGTGAAAAAAGTTCTGGTCAGCACTTCACAAAAAAGCTGATTTAGAGGGGTGCAAAACAAGTAGATGGGGGGAAAAACAGGCAAATCTCCTTCATTTATTTTCATGACAGATAGAACTTTTTTCTTCAGTAGGATTATTTTGAAATTCATGTCTTTTACTTCACTTTATTTATTTTTTCATACCACAATTATTGACAACATTAATAGTGGCTGGGGCATATCGTACTGTTAACTATTAGTGGGAGCTGCCTGGATATATTAATTGCAGGCAGCATGAATGGAAATGATGGTTACTTATTTTGTTAATTTTTTCTGTATTGCTAGCAAAAATGTTTGGTGGATTTTTTGCTCAAACATCTGAATAACTTGGTTGTTTCTATGTTATACATATTGTGGTAACTGTTGCTTTAGCCAAGCCAGGAAAACCTCTTGGTCCATTCAAGACAATTCACCAGGCATCCATTAATTTGTCCAATGCCATATCTTCTTTAAATATTGCAAACATATACCGTGTTTCCCCCAAAATAAGACCCCGTCTTATTTTTTTTTAACTTTGAAATAAGCGCTTGGCCTTATTGCCATGCGCTTAAAAGCCTGATTGAGCTTATTATCAGGGGATGTCTTATTTTGGGGGAAACAGAGTAGTAAAATCCCAAACTGCCTTCTTATCACCATTACCCAGCTCCCTCAGTTGCAAAAAAAAAACAAAATAACATAGGTATGTTTATCAATTTATTGTAAAAAATTCTAATTACAAAACAGGACAATATATTTATTGTAGGGTTTAGGATACGGCAGATAATGACTCCCTAATATCTCAGGATATATTCATCTTTAACATCGAAAGTGACTTCCATAAAGTAGTAACTTGAGTTATTATAAATTGTGACAAGTTGGGTTTCTTGTTTTCACTTAAGATAACACAGATATATAGTATAAATTAGAATTATATATTTTCTCAATTATTACTATTTGTAACATGAATAGTATATGAGGAGATTTTTTTATACATTTGTACTCTTTGTAGACTGCTTTTTATTGAGTCCTGTGTCTTCCAGAATTCAAAGGCATTGCTTTCTGTGCTCTTTTCAGGGTATCCAGAAGGTGTGTGAGACTATTGTTGAGTGTTGGGACCATGATCCTGAGGCCCGGCTGACAGCACAGTGTGTAGCTGAGAGGTTCAATGATTTTGATTACCAAGACGGACTTTCAGGAAGAAGCAGCTCAGAAGAGAAGATCCCTGAAGAAAGTTCGGGCAACAGCGCCAAGTAAGAGCTGGCAAGATCAGAGGAATGCTCAGCCTTGGAATAAGAGGAATCTTTACCATTGGACCTACTTTCTATGACCCTGAAGAGCTGCTTTTTCCTCCATCCTGCAGCTCCAGACAACAGGAATGACTTTACGGGGTAACCATAATGGGCCATGTGCAGTGCCATGGCATAGTAGTTGCTTCCTTAAGTGTGCCATAAGATAAGTTATGTTGGTGCTTCCTAAGAAAATAGGACTATATTACAATGCCAATAACAATTGCACTTTATCAAGGTCTATATATAAAGCTCAGCGCTAAATATAAATATATAAAGCTGTGCTGAGAGTCTTCCAGAAAACTTCTAATAGATAGAAAATTGCAAATGTTTGCTAAGCAGTATTGCCTTATTCACCTCACTCAAACCATAAAAACCTGTAGCTAACTACACTACAAATATTATCAATTGCTGTGCCTTTTTTTTCAGAGGAGGGGCAAAAAAACCCCAAATGACAACTAGAAGAGTTTGGATATGTTTGAGCTTTTTTTAAAAAAAACTATGACATTATGCAATGGTATTCAGCTGGTTCCTGAATGTTTAAAATTTAGAATTTATGAATTACTGGACCATTCACAGTCAGGAGTTTTGGTTTTTCTGTTGAAATGTAGAATTTGCAAAGGTTTTCTTCTTCTTTTTTTTTGTTCTTTAATGTCGGCAAAAAATTATTAATACCCCTCCCCTTCTTTCAACCTGCACTTCATGTTCATACTTCATACTGACTACAGGTTTCTCTCCCCCCAACTTTCCCTTGGAATTGGGCAGCATCAATTATAATTGCAACAGATGTTTTGCATTTGCCATGCATTCTGGAAAAAGTAGATTCCTCCCTCTTTTTCTCCATCCTTTTTGGATCAATAACATCCTGTCTAGTTTCTTAAGCTCTTAAATTCACTTGATTTTGTGCCCAGAAGGAATAGCAGATGAATTCCTTCCTGAGTTTCTATGATGCTTTGGCAAAAATTTGTTCTGCACTCTGGGCATGCATTGCTTTTGGTTCTTGTAATATGCATCATAGCCAATCCTGCCTGCAATTAATGCTAAGAAATGCTATACATTCCTAAACTGATCCCCACAGGCAAGGCTTGCATTCTTTTAAGTCTTCCAAAATATTTAGAATTGGAGCTGGCTTCATCAGGAATTTTAAATGGCAGGGTTTGAATTGTTTGTGCTTTCTTGCAAGATATGCATTCTCCAACCTAGTTCCCTCCAGATGTATTGGACTGCAAACCTGTGATAGCAGTGGAGTCCAACAGAACACTGGAATGGTAATGAGCCATTTTTGAAAGTCAGCTACTATTTTGTAACAGGACGCATTCTTTCCTTTTGTTTTTCATTTCATTAGAATTAGTCCATGCCAGCCAGAAACAATTCTTTTGGGATGAAAGATATATTACAAGTGCAATTCTTTTTCACGTAGGAGATAGGTGTTTTTCTAAGAACTCCTCTTTTGTGTATCCAATAGGGGAAAAAAGGTATATTCGTATAGGAATTTTTAAAACTTTATGGGATTTTTTTTAAAAAAAATAATTCTATGTCTGCCATTTGTGTTAAACATTTTATAAATATTTAAGCATTAAGTGGACAGAGGCTCAACAAAAAGAAACCAGATTTTAAAGTAACATGCGACGTACTAAACTGGAGTTACTAGTAAGGCGGCTTTAGAAAAGTGTAATGTTGAATAGGGATGGGATCTGATGACCTCTAGTGGTGGTTGCCTAGAATAGCAGCATGAAAAACAGCTACATAGAAAGTAAAAATCAGCTTTCTATCAAACCGGATGGGAGGGTGCATCTGTGTCGCATGCCTAAATTGCTAATTTTGTAGGCTACTTTAAATGTTACTGCATATTGCTACCATTTACCTCAGTAGTAAATGTAAATTTACCATTTACCTCAGTAGTTCAGGTGTTCAGCCTGAAGGCCTCCAGTGCAACTCCCTGAAGTTGTTCTTGTAAAGTTGTCACCAGATAGTATTGTTTGAAAAGACAAAATGAATAGGCTGTCAAATATGTTGAAGATAAATAATTTTACTTCATTTAAATATAAGTGAAATCAGTTGCCCTAATTAAGGCAACTTTAAGGGATGTAGACTCCAGAATTCCCCAACCTATTCAAGAGTTGAGATCTGCCACTCTTAAAATGAAGTTTCTCAGTGATGAGGTACATTGATCTAAAAGAGGACCAAACAAAATTATGGGGAGAAGTATATTAATGGAGAGTCATGGCTATATGTTATTTCAAGATTCAGAATAATCTTAAAAATCATTTACTGGTGAGTCATAGTGCATACAGGAAGCTGCTTTCTTTGATGATTTCTCTGAAGCAACTAATTCAGTGCTAAATAAGAAGAAACATGGGAGGCTTTCATAGATAATAAGCCTCCTGAAAAGGCCATCCGCTTCTAGACCTATTTGTTTAGGAGATTCAAGTAAGATCAGTATTTAAATTGGCAGCCTAGACATGCCTAGGTCTTCCTACTGAAGCTGAGATATGTTTGTCTGTCGTGAACTGGCAAAAACCTGAGAGATCACTAAACTCCTGACAATCCTTTACCTTTTTTGTATTAGTATATTTAAAGAGATTTAAAAAAAAAATTCATGAAAGATTTTTAAAGTACAATATATATGAAAATAGAAATGTTTGCATATCTAATCTCTTTATCAGATTTTTTTCAAGCACTTACCATATTTTTGTATAAATAAATATTGTACCCAATGCTTTTGTTTAAAGTCTTATTCATATTAAAATAGTTTTGTGTTTTAACAACATAGGTTAACAACATAATTCAAGCAGCATGGTGCCTGTGGGTGACTTTCTCATGAAGACCATTTCTGATTCTTACCAAGCTCTCTGGCCTTGTGTCTTTAGATTATTTTAATTAAGAAATAAGCAAATAGGCAGCATTCTATACAATATTAGCTTTTAATATCAACTTCGTCCCTAAGAAGGTCTCTGGTTACCAAATAGGTTCCAAAATATTGTTACATAATAAAAGTGGACAATTGTTGTTTGGAAATATTCTGGAAACTCAGAAGAAAAGTCAAAAATAGATAGAAATTATACATATTGATACAGGGCAGCAGGTGTATTTTGAGAATATAGTAGGGAATATATTTAACAGTTTGCCAACTAGTATGTTTATTCATAACACATTAATAAGTCTCAGGGTGTCAGCATTAATGGCTCTATATAACTAGTAAGATTCGGCTGGGATCAGTCTTGGGGCCAAAATTATTATTGCTATGAATATCTTGGATGATGGAATTACTGGACTTCCTATCAAAGCTATGGACCATATAAAATTAGAGGGTCTGGTAAACATCTAAGAAAACAAAATTGCAGACTAATCTGGATAGGTTAGAAGACTGGACAAGATGCAAGATGCCCCTTGTTGTTGTTAGTTGCAAAGTCGGGTCCAACCCATCGCAACTCCATGGACAACGTTCCTCCAGGCTTTCCTGTCCTCTACCATTCTGTGGAGTCCATTTAAGCTCATGCCTACTGCTTCAGTGATTCCAACTAGCCATCTCATTCTCTGTCATCCCATTCTTCTTTTGCCCTCAATCTTTCCCAACATTAGGCACTTCTCCAGTGAATCCTTCTCATTAGGTGGCCAAAGTATTTGAGTTTCATCTTCAGGACCAGGCCTTCTAAAGAGCAGTCAGGGTTGATCTCCTCTAGGACTGACCTGATTGCTTTGCAGTCAAAGGGACTCCAGGAGTCTTCTCCAGCACCATACTTCAAAGGCCTCAATTCTTTGGCACTCAGCCTTTCTTATGGTCCAACTTTCACAGTCATACATTGCAACTCGGAAAATCATAGCCTTGACTATACGCACTTTGGTTGGCAGGGTGATGTCTCTGCTTTTTAGTATGCTGTCTAGATTTGCCATAGCTTTCCTCCCCAGGAGCAAGAATCTTTTAATTTCTTGGCTGCATGTGTGGTGATCTTGGAGCCCAGGAAAATAAAATCTGTCACTACCTCTATTTCTTCCCTATCTATTTGCCAGGAATTGAGGGGGCCGGATGCCCTCTCAATTAGTTTTCTTAATGTTGAGTTTCAAGCCAACTTTTGCACTCTCCTTCTTTACGCATCAAGGCGCTCTTTAGTTCCTCTTCACTTTCTGCCATTAAAGTGGTATCATCTGCATATCTCAGGTTGTTGATATTTCTCCTGGCAATTTTAATTCCAACTTTTGATTCATCTATCCCCTCCTTTCTCATGATGTGCTCTGCATATAAGTTAAATAGGCAGGGTGACGGTATATTCCAATTTTGAACCAATCAGTGGTTCCGTGTCCAGTTCTCACTGTTGCTTCATGACCTGCATATAGGTTTCTCAAGAGACAAATAAGATGGTCTGGTACTCCCATCTCTTTAAGAACTTGCCACAATTTGTTGTGATCTACACAATCAAAGGCTTTAGCATAGTCAATGAAGCAGAAGTAGATGTTTTTCTGGAACTCCCTAGCTTTCTCCATGATCCAGTGTATATTGGCAATTTGATCTCTAGTTCCTCTGCCTCTTCGAAATCCTGCCTGTACTTCTGGTAGTTCTTGGTCCACATAATGCTGGAACCTAGCTTGTAGGATTTTAAGCATAACCTTACTACCATGTGAAATGAATGCAATGGTGTGATAGTTTGAACATTCTTTGGCATTGCCTTTCTTTGGAATTGGAATGTAAACTGACCTTTTCCAATCCTGTGGCCCAGGGGTGAAATGCTCTGAAGTCTGCTACCGGTTCACTTTGCTACCGGTTCACTGCGCACGCATGCGCAGTGCACACCAAATGCGTACTTTGTGTGCATGCACACCGCAAGCGCTATTGCACAGTGCTGAAAAAGGTGAATTATGAAGCCTTTTCTAAGGTAAGTAGAACAGTGAGGGGGGGGGAACAGCTGTGCTGCGCAATTTATATTCGCTAGAAAGCAGGAAATCCTGCTTTCATCCGAACCAGTAGCAATTTTTTACTACTGGTTCACCCAAACCAGTAGCTTTTATTACTACAGGTTTGGGCGAACTGGTCCAAACCGGTAGCATTTTACCCCTGCTGTGGCCACTATTGAGTTTTCCAAATTTGCTGGCAAATTGAGTGTAGCACTTTTACTGCATCATCTTTTAAGATTTTGAACAGCTCAGCTAGAATACTGTCACCTGCATTAGCTTTGTTGTTGCTCAGATTTCCTAAGGCCCATTTGACTTCACATTCTAGGATGTCTGGCTCGAGGTCAGTGACCACCCCATCATGGTTATCAGGAATGTTAAGCTCCTTCTTGTATAGTTCTGTGTAATTTTGCCACCTCTTCTTAATCTCTTCTGTCTCTTTTAGATCCTTTATCATTTTGATCCTTTATCATGCCCATTTTTGCATGAAACGTTCCCTTCATATCTCCAATTTTCTTGAAGAGATCTCTGGTCCTTCCTATTCTATTGTTTACTTCTATTTCTTTACATTGTTCATTTACGGCGACATTCTTATCTCTTCTAGCTATTCTCTGGAATTCTGCATTCAATTGGGTGTATCTTTCTCTTTCTCCCTTGCCTTTTGCTTCCCTTCTTTCCTCAGCTACTTGAAAGCTTCCTCAGACAGCCATTTTGCTTTCTTGCATTTCTTTTTCTTTGGGATGGTTTTAGTTGTTACCTCTTGTACAATGTTGCGAACCTCCGTCCATGGTTCTTCAGGCACTCTGTCTATTAGATCTATTTCCTTAAATCTATTTGTCACCTCTACTGTATATTCATCAGGGATATGATTTAGTTCATACCTGAATGGCCTACTGCTTTTCCCTACTTACTTCAATTTAAGCCTAAATTTTGCAACGAGAAGCTCATGATCTGAGCCACAGTCAGCTCCTGGTCTTGTTTTTACTGACTGTATAGAGCTTCTCCATCTTTGGTTGCAGAGCACGTAGTCAATCTGGTGTTGACCATCTGGTGATGTCAGTGTGTAGAGTCGTCTCGGGTTGTTGGAAAAGAGTGTTTGCTATGACTATCATATTCTCTTGACAAAATTCTATCAACCTGTGCCCTGCTTCATTTTGTATTCCAAGGCCAAACTTGCCTGTTATTCTGGTTATCTTTTAACTTCCTACTTTAGCATTCCAATCCAATGATGATAAGGACATGATTTTTTGGTGTTAACTCTATAAGGTGCTGTAGGGCTTCATAGAACCGGTCAATTTCATCCTCTTCAGCACCAGTGGTTGGGGCATAGACTTGGACTACTGTGCTGTTGAATGGTTTGCCTTGGATTCAAACAGATCATTCTGTCATTTTGGGGATTGTATCCAGTATTGCTTTTCCTACTCTTTTATTGACTGTGAAGGCTACTCCATTTCTTCTGAGGGATTCGTGCCTGCAGTAGTATACCTGATGGTCATCTGAATTAAATTCACCCATTCCTGTCCATTTTCGTTCATCTCTTGTTTGACTACATCCAGCTTGCCTTGATTCATGGATCTTACATTCCAGGTTCCTATGGAGAATAGATCTTTATAGAATCAGATTTTCCTTTCACCACCAGATGCATCCACAGCTGAGCATCCTTTCGACTTTGGCCCAGTCGCTTCACTCTTTCTGGCGCTACTAGTACTAGCTGTCTGCTCTTCCCCAGTAGCATATTGGACACCTTCCGACCTGAGGGGCTCATCTTCCAGCGTCATATATTTTTGCCTTTTGGTACTGTCCATGAGTTTTCACGGCAAAGATACTGGAGTGGGTTGCCATTTCCTTCTCCAGTGGATCATGTTTTGTCAGAGCTTTCTGCTATGAACTGTCCATCTTGGCTGCCCCTGCATGGCATAGTTCATAGTTTCTTTGAGCTACGCAAGTCCCTTCGCCATGACAAGGCAGTAATCCATGAAGATGTCTCTTAGTAGGGAGAAAAAAAAGACACACAAGATTCATGGACTGGAAGTACTATATATGTGAAAGATATGAGTGTAGTCTACAGATTAACTTTTTCTCCCTTTGAGTTAGTCTTGATTCCCAGCAAGTGTTGACAAATCCCTGCAGTTTTCTTGACAAAATTTGGAAATGGTTTGCTATTCACTTTTTCCAAGGGCTGACACTATCTGATACAAGGTCACTTTTCCGCCTGAGCCAGGAATAGAACTCACGATGTCCTAGTTTCTAGTCTGATGCCTCAACCATCATACAAATTGCCTTTTGCAAGCTACCATATCTCTGTGTAGATTGTATTATGATTAGACAAGGCCTTTATTGAATGAATGGGTCATCCAGATACAGTATTCCACGCTGTTTTCCAGAAATATTTCACATGTGTAAACTTCTACCTTAGTAATCAATTGCCATCTCTGTACATAAATAGATAGACCTTGTTGAAGTAGGAGAACCTAGGATTCCAAGTAATTTGTTCAGCCATAAAAATGTGTGACTTAAAAACAATATGATTTCAGATTAATTCCCACTAAATGCTATATGTAAAATGGGAGTTCTAATTAAATATATTGGATCATTATGACAATAATGTACAAATATAGGTTCTGCAGGACCATTATTTCAAATATTGATGTGTCAAACATAGTTTGAGAATAATTTGAAGCAGATTTCTAAATTGCCAATGAATTTAAAGTCATCTTAAATTAACTCTCCTTTAATTTTCTTCCTACTTTCAGGGGTCTCTTGTTGTAGGCAGAGAAGTACAGGAAGGAAGATATAATTTCATAATGTGGAATAATGCCATTCCCAAATA